GTAGAAACTCTTCCGCATCATCATGGTATTGTGAATTGGAAGTGGAGTAATATGCACTGTTGTCAACACCAGGCACAGTCGAAGGATTGTCTGAGGAAAATAACAGCATGTACAAATGAACAAAAAAGACAAATTTGACAAATGGATACTTATACTGGATGAAACTTAAGGAGCACAAGAATTTCAAGAAGCTCTCGATTGTCGAACAAATTCAGTCTTGAGACTATATGTGCTGATGTCAGGAAACTACAACTGATAAACAGAGAAAATCGGAGAAGAACTTCTTAGATGCTGACCCAAGCTCCGCAGATAAAACTCTCCTAGCTGGTGCCTATAAATTCCCTTTTGGCTTCTCGCGAGAATTTGATGTCATATCAGGGCAATATTCCCCTGCATATCATCTCTTCAGATGCTAACTTCTTAGATGCATCTAACTTCTCAGATGCTAACCCAAGCTCCGCAGATAAAACAGCTAACTCTCCTAGCTGGTGTCCATAAAATCCCTTTTGGCTGCTCGTGAGAATTTCATGTTATATCAGGACAATATCCCCCCACATATCATCTCTTTATTTCTATTGACCTATAAGCTTGACATGGTCTTCAAATTGTAAGGGAGAATTAAATAAATCGTTCCACAAAAGAGCAAAATGCTTCAAGAGTTTTTCCTCTGATGAGAAGCAATCTCTTTGTGTTCAAAATCTCTTAGTACGTGGCCACAGCCATCCCAACCCACTCAACTTTACGTGGACCCACCGAGTTCTTGCTTTTAGTTTTAAAAGTGAGTACATGTACCACTAAAACATAGCTGGAGGTTTGCGCATGAAAGAGTTCATTACCACTTTCAATATCAGTGTCTGAGCAGTTACACACCTACCCCTCCCCTAACCCATCCTCAACTCAAACGTATTATAAGTTGGGTGTGGTGGGGTTAAGCAAGGGGTAGATGCGCAGTTGCCCAGGTACTGACATTCGCGCACCTACCCCTCCCCTAACCCATCCTCAACTCTTGCATATTATCAGTTGGGTGTGGTGGGGTTAGGGGAGGGGTGGGCATGGTTCCAGCAGTGAATGAGAATAACGTAATAACCACAGTGTACCTACCTTCTACACCAACTCCAAGCACAAACACAGGAGTCCCAACCAAACGTATTGGTGGACTATCCGCAATGGACTGCACAAGTCTAAAGCCAAGATTCTGGAAGAAATGGCGGCGAAAAGCAAAACGAGCAAATCGTGATGCCCCATCTCCTGTAGAAACCCAGCTGCCACCCTGACAAAAAAAAACATTTTCAATGTCTAAAAACAACTGATCAAAAGAAGCGGTTAAATTAAGTGAAACGTAACTTACCATGATCATGTTGTGTCTTCCATCAAAACATGGCGTGGAAAAGTCATCATACAAAAAGTGAGGTTTGTAATCTTTAAATCCATTAAAATGGTCTTCACACCAATCCCATACGTTTCCAAAGACATCACAAAATCCAGCTTTAGTCGGTGGGAACATGTTCACAGGCTTAAACCGAGAAAAAAATATAACTCTTTCGTTATTTTGAGTCAGTCACAGTGAAGAGAATAATCAATCTTTCCAACAACTTCTGTAATTGACTATAATAATAAAAGGAATGATAAAAAGGACTCACTGTGGAAGAGCCATACGCCATGTTGATGTTTGCTTTTGTATCATCCTGGTAGATAATGTCAGAGGTAGTACCCTCTGAGGGAGATTTCTGGAAAATGATTTTTTTTTTCATTTTAGTGCAGCATTAAACAAAAACCCTGAACTATCTAACAAAATGTTACACAAGAATAATTTGGGGAGAGGAGCTGAGGCAAGTCCAAGCTGGGCGTGAGCAACCT